GGGGCGAGCGAGCAGTGGATCCTGACCCTGACGAGAGGGTCAGCCATCGCAGCGGCGACGAGCATGCCATCCGCGCATCCCACTGGGAGAGGCGAGACGCGGGGGGGCCCTGGCGGGGGCAGCTTTCTCGCCCGTAGGACACCCCCTTTCGCTTGGAGGACAATTGCCGCCCTGTGGAAAATCACCGGGCAGTGGCTCGTCGGGGCGAGAGGCGCAATGCGCGTGGATCTCGCGCCGCCGACGCCTGGCGCGGGGCCCCCAGAAGATCCAGCCATTTCGCAGAGTCTCGACGGTGAACCGCCCGCTGAAGTCAGGGGCCTGGCCGCAGATCTTCTGGACAAGCGGAATGGGGGTGGCCCGCAGAGCGGTCTATCGGTTTCGGCTCGAATGCCCTCCGCCAGTGGTGCGCCAAATCAACCCCTGCGTGCCGCGCCGATGCGCATGGTGCATTTGTGTCCCCTGCCAGAGTGTCCCCGATCATCGCAATCTTATACAGCGAACGCCGCCGCTCGCGATCCCGCGGCGCGCGCTGGCACATGCGCGCAATCGCGCGCTCGGGAGGCCCGCGAGCTCGCCGCGGCGCTCCCTCCTCCCCGTCGAGCAACTGATTGTCGAGCGGGGCGGCGTGTGCGTGCATTCCCTGCGGGCCGAAGACAGCGTCGGAGTCGATGTCGTCGCGAGCAGCGAGATGCGGGCAGGCGCGGACAGCGACGGCAAACGTGGAAGGTGCTGCCGCGGAACCAGGCAGCAATGGCAGCGACCGGATGGCAGCGCTGGCTCAAGGCAAAATGCTCGAGGAGGGGCTCGGCGAGACGACGCCGCATCAACATCCGAGATTCAGCATCGATGCGGGGCCCCGGCGAAGAATCGTCAATCGCAGGTGCGCGGACTGGAGGGTGCGCAGGGTTAGTCGGCGCGCCCATGGTGGCGCCCGTCGCCGCGAAGCCCCTCGGCGCAGCGGGGCGGGCGGTCGCGCGCGCGCGATCCAGACGGGCCGTTGAAACAATTTGGGGCCGTGGCGCGCGCGGCGAGTGCCCCGCGGCTGGAAGGACTCTGTCCAATTTTCTCCGCCGAGGAAGGCGCCCCGCTCGTGGGCGGGCGCCGCGCCGCCCCTGGCCGCGGTGATCTGGTGTTCGATGCTGCGACGACCTTCGTCGCCGATCGCAAATTTGAAACCGCCGATGAAGATGTGGGCGCCGGAAGCGGCGGGGGGAAGAGCGGGGCGAACGCGGAAGAGGCTGCGGGGCGAGCGCCCGACGCCAACGTCAATTTTGGGCAGCCGCGCGGCTGCTGGGCGCGGGTTGGCGAAGAGGGAGCGCGAGGGGGCTTCCTTCCACGGGGCAACTAAATCTCCAGAGGGACCATGGGGCTCCTGGGTGCGAGCGGTAGCGCCCCCTGGTGAGCCCGCTGAAGATCTCCCACCTGGCGCGGGCTCTGCTCTTCACGCCGGATACAGTGGCACTGGCGAACATACCTCTTGCACCCCACATGATAGTGGACAACGATGTAGCTGAAACGGGGGGGGGGGGGGCGGGGGCTGCGACGCCCCAAGTCCCGCCCGCCAGCAATGACCTGCCTCGTCGAAGCGGCCAGAGTACAGAAGGAAGGTAACCTCCTGCTTGAGCCACCCAGTCCACGAAGTTGGTTGGCTGGCGCCAAACGCGCGACCTTGCCGACGTCCGATCAAAACTTCGTGCTGCTTGCTCTGGTGGCCAGGCATCAAAGTGGCATGAAAAAAACAATCGCGCGAGGATCTTCGAGCGCCACATAGTGCTTCTCCGCGCAAATGAACACGTATGCATCACTACTCGTCTTGTTCGAACGGAGGCGAAGCCGATGCTCACAGACCAATCGAATTTCCAATCGGCGAGATTGGGAATCTCGTTGGTGACATTCCGACCGGATCTCACCAATGACTGTCAACTGCTTGCTGGTCCCGCCATCGCGGGGGGACTCCAGGCGAAGGGCCTTATCCCCCGTGTGCGTCTCGAGAAGGAAATCAAAAGGAAACTCACGATGGAAGGTGACAATGGTTTCCTCTGCTGCGTCAACCGAGGGAAAGGCCGACATCACCGTCTTCGAACAATTGAGCTGGGTAGCCTTCATCAAATTCTGGATGTTTTCAGGCGCGCGTGCTGAGAGACTCGAAATCCTGGCCTCGCGCAGCGCCTTACGAGCGAACTCGACCCCGGCGACCATCACGTTGCCCAAGACATCGGAACAACCAGGACGAACATGCCGAGGGGCAGCGGGACGTGGCTTCTTCTGAAGACTTCCAATATCACCACTGGATTTGCTGAACCCTCCGCTTGAGCCTGCCTTACCATGTGTTAACTTCTGCGATGGTTGCGTCTGTTTTCTGCCAAGTCGCCTTCTGACTGTCGAGACAAGTCTGGGGACTCAGGATTGAAACAGCGAGAGCGGCAACCTGTTCTGAAAGAGGGAGGGGGAGAGAGAGAGAGAGAGAGAGAGAAGGATAGATAAAACGATATATATATATATATATATATGTGTATATATCTATATGGGAGCCCTCTGAGATCTACCTCAACCACCTTTTTTCGATAACGTGCTCTCCAGCCGCTGATGGGAGAGCGAGATGGCGGGAGAAGTGGAAATTCGGGAGGAGTGGGAAGGCGGGAGAGCGGGAGAGCGGGAGAGTTGGAGAGCGGGAGAGCGGGAGAGCGGGAGAGCGGGAGAGCGGGAGAGCGGGAGAGCGGGAGAGCGGGAGAGCGGGAGAGCGGGAGAGCGGGAGAGCGGGAGAGCGGGAGAGCGGCCGCCCCGGCCGCCCCGGCCCCCCCCCTCCCCGGCTCTCCCGCTCTCCCGCCTCCCGCTCTCCGCTCTCCCGCTCTCCCGCTCTCCCGCTCTCCCGCTCTCCCGCTCTCCCGCTCTCCCGCTCTCCCGCTCTCCCGCTCTCCCGCTCTCCCGCTCTCCCGCTCTCCCGCTCTCCCGCTCTCCCGCTCTCCCGCTCTCCCGCTCTCCCGCTCTCCCGCTCTCCCGCTCTCCCTCTCCCGCTCTCCCGCTCTCCCGCTCTCCCGCTCTCCCGCTCTCCCGCTCTCCCGCTCTCCCGCTCTCCCGCTCTCCCTCTCCCGCTCTCTCCCGCTCTCCCGCTCTCCCGCTCCCCCGCCCTCCCGTTCTCCCGCTCTCCCGCTCTCCCGCTCTCCCGCCCTCCCGCCCCAAGCGCGATGAGGAGGAGGAGGACGATGATGACGATGAGGAGGAGGAGGAGGAGAAGGAGGAGGAAGAGGAAGAGGGCTGCATTGGACTTTATTGGAAAATGGAGCAAGCCCCCTCGCGGCCAGCGAAAGCCTGATGCTTTGATCAAGCCTGAAGAGGATCCTCCCTCTGGGACTGCGTCTCGCGAGCCTCTCTGCTTCGCTCTCGGCGGCACCATTCCATCGCCTCCCGAGGGTCCGAGAAGCCGCGCGCGCAACCCGATGCATGTCAAGCGGCTCTGGGATCTCTAATCCACACTTGCCCGTAACCGGGCCAGAGCATAACTCGCCTCCTCGACTCGCAGCTTCCCCGCCCGCTGAGCTCCCCCGCCCTCCCGCTCTCCCGCCCTCCCGCTCCAGGCGCGATGAGGAAGAGGAGGAGGGGGGCGACGATGATGACGACGATGAGGAGGAGGAGGAGCAGCGCGTGCACGATGGACGATGAGGAGGAGGAGGAGGACGACGATGATGACGATGAGGAGGAGGAGGACGACGACGATGATGACGATGAGGAGGAGGAGGAGGACGACGACGATGACGATGAGGAGGAGGAGGGCAGCGCGGGGGAAGGGGCGGAGCCGTCAGCAGTCTGCCTGGGACTGATGGCCGGTCTGGAGGTGGTGTTGATCGTTGGATATTGAAGGCTCGATGTCGAACTATTGATCTGGTATGCTCTGGAGCCGTGTGGAATTCAAGGAAAACGAGTGTACACAGCAAGGGATTGGGAGGAAGAGCGGGATGACGACGACGCGGAGGAACGATGGCGATGATGTTGATGACGATGACGCTGACGACGACGATGATGATGGTGTTGACGATGATGGTGATGATGATGATGATGATGGTGACGGTGACGATGACTATGGTGATGAAGATGATGATGATAAGAACGATGACGACGACGATGATGATGATAATGACGATGACGATGATGATGGTGTTGACGATGATGGTGATGATGATGATGATGGTGACGGTGCCGATGACTATGGTGATGAAGATGATGATGATAAGAACGATGACGACGACGATGACGATGATGACGATGACGATGATGAGGCTGATGATGATAATGATGATCATGATGATGGTATTGATGATGATGATGAGTAGGCGGAGGAGGAGGCGTAGTTAGAGAGAATATGATCGCAATCTCTCTGTTCATATTCTTGTGTTCCTGACGTTGTTTTTTCATTATCCCTCCCTCTCCCCCTCATCTTTTTTAGCCGTACCGGCTTCGGGTCTGCGACCTTCTTAATTTGTTTGCTTCACCTTGTCGGCCTCGCGCTGCGCGAATGCCTGCGTCCACGAAGAAAGCCGTGAAGACCAAGACTGACAACTGCAGGGATCGCAAACGGGCAGCCTATCCAAAACTGGCTCAAGAAACCGTGGGTCAAGCAGTACCTCCAGAAGGCGGCCAAAGTGCACTTGAAAAAATACCACGACACCGTGGGGGCCTTGAGGAAGAGGCAGACGGAGCTCCACAAGGAAGTGAAGGAGAAAAAGAAGGAGAACTTCCACTTGCGCCGTGATGTGTTCGTCCACACGGTTGTTGGGACACTAAGCATGCACCTCTCCGCGCAAGCAACGCACAAAGCACCGGAGCACATAGCGCAAGCAAGCAGCATTCGATACCATGGAAACGAAAAGCTTCAGCAACCACCAACGTGGCAGCACCGCAACCCCCCCACGCAGCTACGCAACATAACAACACCAGCGAAAGAAACAACCACAGTTCAACGACCAACACAGAAACTTTCTGTTTCCCCGCAGCGCGCAGCCGAGAACGCCCGCAAGAACCTGGGCACCGCGAAGGACAAGAACGAGGGCTTGCGCAAGCAGCTGCGGGAGACTCAGGAGGAGCGAGACGACTGGAAGCAGAAAGCACGCACAGCCCGACGGGAGGGCGAGGCGGCCGCTTGGGACGAGGCGGAGCCAGAGAACGAGAGCTTGCGGGCTAGCCTCAAGAAGGCGCAGGCCTTTCGAGGGCGAAAAAACCTACCCCCCCTCCCCCAGAGCAAACGAGCCAAACTTGGCGCCCGCCTAGGCGAGCGCCAAGGGGCGACCAAACCTCTCTCCCCAAACTCCATCAGGCGAAACGCCGCGGCCTCTCCACGGAGAAGAACCGCTTCCTCCAGAACGCTTCCAAGGCGCAGCAGGCGAACTACTACGAGCTCGTGAGGCGGCCGAGAGGCCCCAGGGCGAGCGACCGGGACGGGTGCTTTGGCGCCCAGTAGCCTGCTGCCTCTGCAAACGGCGAATTCGGCCACCGGCCTTGCATGTGCAAGCCTAAAAAAACGACAAGCAAGGCGGAAGTGCGATGTCATGAACTTGGGGCCGAATGTGTTTCGATTCGCTTTATCATGAGATGACATGTACTTTGGATTGCTCTTCTCCTGAAGTTCAGCACAACGATGTATACTTCAAACCTGGAAAACGCAGCGGGGGTAAAAACATCTCTGAGCATGACTATATTGTGCACACACTCGTAATGAAGAGGGGCATCCAATATTGGATGCCCCCGTTTGGGAGGAGCCCGCGTCGTCTTTTACTTTCGGGGAGAACATATTTTTGGTCGGCCCCCGTTCATATTTCCGAATATGGCAGCTATGAGGTTAGAGATGTCAACATGATGGGGTAAAGAAGAAAGCACTCCAATATTGGATGCCCCCGTTTTTGAGGAGCTCGCGTTTGGAGGATTCGGCGGTGCTTCGCACTCTCGGGGTGGCGGGAGGGAGTGGTCCTATGTGATTGATGAAGCACAGCGGATGTCAATAACATCGATATTCACAACCACTGTTTCGCACGTCGTTTATCGGCTCAAGCACCCCGTTTGATCGGGTTTTCATTGTGGCAATTTGCGCCCCTTCATATCCCTGCTCTTGCGAACCACAATGGCGCTCGAGTGGGCGTTCGTCACTGACGTCGGCCCTGGCGCTGCCTTGCCGCCTGACACGGCGTGGCGCAAGCTCAGCGCCCGACAGAGCAACCGCGTGGCTGCTGGCCAGGACGGCGAGACGCATTCTGAAATGGAAAAGAATTGCGCCACAGGTTTGTTGCAAACCTGATGCGCGGTACTTTAAGTCTTCTTCGTGCTTCGGAAAAGACAGACATCCGGCGAAGACTGCGCTGGTCGGCTGGTCTTTTCTGCGGCGGAAGCAAGAAGACGGTGTAGATTTCAACAGCCGTTCGGAAAGAAACATAAGGACCGCATCTACTGTTGCATCGGCGGCTGGCCCATCTTCAAGACGTTCCGCAAGGGTTTAGGCCAGTTCCACGCGCCAGGCTTCGCGGGTCCCCTGTGGCACCCAGCTGACCCCGACCTTGAGGACATCATTGTTCGCCCTTCCTTCGACGTTGAGGTGGAGGCCACGTGCGTCGGCTTCAGCATTGCAGTGATGCTCCTATCGCCCGATCGCTGCATCCCTGCATCCGCTTCATTCATCATGATGTGATCAGATCATGAGATCAAGTCCTTATGTGTCTGCGCGCGTGTTCAATCGCGCGCGTGTCTGAATGCACGCGCGCATGTTTTGTGCATGTGCATAAGTAAATTGCGCGCTTAGACCGTGCAGTTATCGCGTCGTCGGCACAATCGGGCGTCGATCGCCCGGGCCCTTTCTGATTGGCGGTCCGATGACAGACTTGCTAAGGCCCGCACTTGCGACGTAAGCTTCATCACCCATGACGGCGCCGCGACCGCTGTGACGGATATCAGTTGGAGCGCAACCTGGAAGTACGTGGAGAGCCGCGTCCAGGCGGGCCTCGGCTTGCCCCCGCATCGCCGCATTCTGTTTGAGGCGGCGGCCTCATAATCGCATCGGTCAGATCTGGTGATCGCAGCCGCCGCGAACCGACGGTGTATCTCGGTCGGTCGCGCAGATAGGTGATCGCGGGCATTGCGGTCGTTTCGCCATCGCTCCAGCTGCGGCGGGGATCGCTCGCGGTGTCGGGCGTTAGTAAGCGTCTGCGGTGGACGGAGATGAGCCGAGTGGCCGCATGAGGGTCGGCCCGAGTTTTGGATTTCGTTCGGTCCGCGGCCGCTTTGCATGAGAGCGCCGCTTCGGAGGTCGATCTGCCGCCCCCGAGTTACAACCGTCCGTCAGACTCGACGGCATAGCCAGGCCCGCGACAATTGTCTGGCAACCAGCTTGCAACCATCGGCCAATGGAATAAACCGAGTTCGTCACAATGGCAGTCGTTGCCACCCCTTCCCGCCCTCTCTCTCTCTCTCTCTCTCTCTCTCTCTCTCTCACTCTCTCTCTCTCTCTCTCTCTCTCTCTCTCTCTCTCTCTCTCTCTCTCTCTCTCTCTCTCTCTCTCTCTCTCTCTCTCTCTCTCTCTCTCTCTCTCTCTCTCTCTCTCTCTCTCCTGTCTCTCCCTCTCTCTGTCTCTAGGTGATTTTGGCTCAGACTGCGCCCTCCGCAATCGCATCTACGCCAAACTCTGACTCTCGAGTCTGGTAGCACCAAATGGCGCCTGTCCGCGCTTTCTCGCCATCGCGCGCACTCTCGCAGGATACTTCTCGGCTGATCGTGAAGAACACGTTCCTCGACGTGCCAGAGGACGCCGCCCGTCCCCCGCGGCGCAGCGCATCTGTTCCTGCGCGGGGCGGCAGGGATGCCGACGACCCGATGGCGGGCGGGCTTGCGCCCGGCCAGGCCTCGCCGCGCCCCGAGGAACGCACCCCCAGCGGTCGTGCTTATCCGATCTCCAGGGCCTCCCACTCGAGCCTGGTGAAAGAGTTGACGCACATCAACTCCGCGCTCACTCCTGCGCGGGGCTACGCGCAGATGCCAGTTGGCAATTCTTCCTTCAAAACAAAAAGCGTCAACTGGCAGGTGCCGCCCCGCGCCGCGGTGGCCTGGCACGTGCTGGTTCATTCCACGGGCTCTGGCAGCGTCGCACTCAGAGCCCCCGCGGCGCAGGGGGGGGCGCCGCGCCGATCGCCAATCGGCCGTCAGAGGCGCACTGTGTCGAGGCACCAGGTATACGACAATCCTACTGACATCGAGAACCTCGACTCGATCGTCAAAGACTTCGCGAGGCCAGGCTTCTGCGAGCCCGCGCGCGCGCCCCCCTGGCGCCGCTCCGCTGTTCGCAGGTCCAAGACAGACCGCGGCTCGCACTCCGCGAGCGAGCGGCAGGCCGCCGTGCACGCGGCGGGGTCTACCCAGGAGCCGCCTTGCGGTGCATCCGCGATAACATCCTGGACAACAAGGAGGGCAAGATGTGTCTTCACTGCTGCAAAGGTTTGGCGGCTGGGAATCAACGCAAACACGCTCGCTGCAGACGGGGGAAGGGAGCTTGGGGATGAGGGGTCGCGAGGTTGGCGGGCGTGGCCGTTGATTCCCACTGCACCTAGAGGTAGACTCGGCTATCTTCGCAAGGTGAAAGGCCGCGGCCTTCGGTACAGGTGCAACCGCAAGGGCTGTCAGAAGTTCACTGTTCCACATGCTCATCACCCCGTCTTCTCTACTGGGTGGGGGGCCACGCATTCGCCTTTCAAGAAGCAGGTGGCCATCTTGTTCAGCATTCTAGCAGGAGGAAGCAATCCCACGATTCGCAGATTGATCTCTTCCGCAAACCACAAGGCGATCGAAAGGATCTCGATTGCCGTGAAGAAGCAGCGCGAGAAGTTTGTCAAGAAGCGAGAGAAGACGATCGTTTTCGGGGTTGGCAACGACCGCGACTGGAGGGACGCTGAAGCAGATGAAGCAGTCTTTGGAAGGGCAGCCAAGGCGGACGACCCCGAGAGCGTGGAATGGGAGCAATGGGCGGGCATCGTGGAGCGAGGCCGGCCCGAGTCGCTGGTGCTGGCGAAGACTACCGCGGCTCCCACGGTGAAGAGGGCTCCTGGGCCAGGCGCAATCAGGAAGGTCGATTGGGCGCCTCTGGCAAACCGCTACTTGAAAGGTAGGCGCATTATTTTGCATACGGACCGCGCTAAGAGCTACGCCATGCGAGTTGAGGGAGTGTTGCACGATTCAGTGCGGCACTGCAAAAAGAGAGTGAACAAGAATGGAAGTGGGTGTGGATGAAGCCGTGCTACGCGCGCTTGGCAACTCATAAGCTTCCATGTGGTAGGAAGTTGCGCACCAAGGCCGGCTCCCAGGTTATCGACAGCGCTTGGAAATACATCCGCTCAACCTTGGGTGGCCAGACAATGGTGCCCAATTCTGAGACGGCCGCCACTGCAATTCGCAGCGCCCAGTGGCTTTACTGGCACAGGGGCAAAGACCTTTGGGCCGAGATGGGATCCACGTTCTGTGCCAACTTTTGGCGGAGGTAAATTGTTACTGCAAACTTGGACAGCGATGGTGTCCTCGTGCTTCTTTGCTTTGAAAAGGGCTTCAAGGTAGATCTCAGAGGGGGGGGCACGCATCTATATATATATATATATATATATATAGAGAGAGAGAGAGAGAGAGAGAGAGAGAGAGAGAGAGAGAGAGAGAGGGAGAGAGAGAGAGAGAGAGAGAGACAAAGAGAGAGAGAGAGAGAGAAAGAGAGATATAGAGAGGGAGAGAGAGGGAGAGAAGGAGGGAGACAGAGAAAGAGCGAAAGAACAACACTCAGTAATATATATTTATGTACATATATATATGAGAGAGAGAGAGAGAGCTTTCAGAGAGAGAGAGAGGGAGAGAGAGAGAGAGGGAGAGAGAGAGAGAGAGAGAGAACGAGAGAGAGATACACAAACATATGACAATGACAGGATGAGAGAGAGCGAGGGAGAGAAGAGAACGATAGAGACAGAGAGAGAGAGAGCAGAGAGCACACCAAGGGCTTCATCTATCTTCTCGAAGTCTGCGCTCATCTTGACCACCTCGGCAACCATCTCCGCGACCGAAACAGACTCACCCTTACTCGATGCCATCGCGCCTCTGGGCAAATCGGGATCCGAGTGCGTCAGAGATGGAAGCGGAATCAACACAAGGGCAGCTGTGCCCCTGTTTCGAACTGGCCCCTCTGCTGCGAGCAAGCTCGAAGCTCCAGAGTTCGCGCTTCGCACTTGAACACATAAGGCCACGGATAGTGACAATAATGGTGATGATGAAGATGACACGTGATGGTGATGATGATGATGATGATGATGATGATGATGATGATGATGATGATGATGACGACGACGATGACGATGACGATGAGGGGAAGAAGAGGGGGGAGTAGGAGGCGGATTGTGATTATGGTGGAAACGAGGGAGCGTGCGAGGAGGGATTGGAAGATGGGACAGG